CGTGTGCTCTCGCCCTTCCTTGCCCGCTTCCCTTTCGCCCTTTTCCCCCTCCCCCCTCCTTGCTCTCTACACCCTTGAGTCCTTGCTCACTTCCTGCCACCCCCCTCCCTCTATCGCGAGCTCCCCGTGTCGCCGAGCGACCCTCAGCACGCCTATTTGCAACCTTGGTTCCAAGCCCTGATCGCGCCTTCGCCAAGCCTTTGGGCAACGAGCCCAGCGCTGGTGCGGGTACTGCGCTGTGTGTTTGCGGGGTGCGCCCCGCCAGTGGTAGCGGGGCTAAGTGTGACGCTGCGTCGCAAGCGTTTCTTCGACGACGCCCAAAATCGTTTGAATTTCGCCGTTACGCCTTCGTGCTCCCCCCCTCGGTTGTGGAGCGATTCGTTCAGCCGCGCCCTTTTGCACGCGCGCGCGCGCCTCGCCAGTGCCGCGCCCTTGCGTTGGCGGCCCAGCGTTCGCGGGCATTCCGCGCTGCCGCGCGCGTGCTAAAGTATTGGATGGAAGGGTGTAGCTCGCGTGGAATTGTTTGTTCGCGACGCCACCGCCAGTGCAAAGGTCCCGTTGCCAGCTTTTGCGCGCTTGTTTTTCGTTCGGGGCAAACGGCGGCGCCGCGGGTCCGTGACGAGTTTCAATTGCGCGCATCAGTGCAAATCGGCCTTCACGCAAAGGGCGCCGCGCTGTTTGCCAAAGGGTCGGGCGACCCTTCGAACGACGAAAAAATTGAATGAATGCGTTATGCGTGCCGGTCAGAGGTGCAGGCCGCGTAGGTGCGCACCGACGCGGACATCGGGACGTTTCATCTATGATGGGGAATCAGGCGCGGGTGGCCGTTGCGTGCGTTATGGTTCGTATGGTTTCTGGGCTTCGCAACGCGCCAAGCAAAAACGAAACGGAAGGCAACGCGTCCGGGTATAATCAAGGGGTGGTTGATGTGTCTATTTCGACAAAACTCAGTTTAGTTTGCACGGAGGACAGCGCCATATCCGAGGCATGCTCCTTGTTGCCCACGAAGCTGCAGGGGCAGTCGGCTTGTGCCTTCTTTTGGATTCGACAATTTATGCACAACCTCAACACAGAGTCGTGGGCGAGGCGACCAGCGGGAAACAGCGTCCATTGATTTAGCATAACTTACCGCCAGATTATCCCCCGCGTGCCAACACGAATGTGCATCCTCTCGCTCTGCCCGATGCCTGTGGCTATTGCGAAGGCCTTGCGGCCGGTGCCGCCGACCCTGAAGACGACGAAAATGAAAACGAGCCTTGGGGGGTAGGATGCGCAAGAAGAGGAGGAGGTGGAGGAGGAGGAGGAGGAGGAGGAGGAGGAGGAGGAGGAGGAGGAAACGGGGGGGTAAGATGAAGGGTGGAGGAGGCGGATGAGGGAGGAGGAGGGAGGAGGGGGGGGATGAGGAGCAGGAAAAGGAGGAGGATGAGGAGCAGGAGGAGGAGGAAGAGGAGGAGGAGGAGGAGGAAGAGGAGGAAAAGGAGGAGGAGGAGGGGAGCAGGGGAGGTTGGGGAGGAGGAGGAGGAAGAGGAGGAGGAGGATGATGATGAGGAGGAGGAGGAGGAGGAGGAGGAGGAGGAGAGGAGGAGGAGGAGGAGGAGGAGGAGGAGGAAAAGGCTTCTCCGGGCCTTCTTGAGAGTATTTTTGGCTCTCTTTTGGCCCGTCTTGGGGCCCCTTTTGGCCGTCCTTCAGGGTTATTGGGCTGTCTTGTGGGGTTGTGGCCGTCTAGGGGCGCTCTTGCGGACCCGTCGTGGCGACCCCCCTCCCCCAGCGCATCTACAGAGGGCCCCTCTGTAAAAACCGCAAACGGGGGATGCGTATCTGGGTGGCGACCCCCCCCCCCCCCGCCCCCCCCCCGGGACCCCCCCCCCGGGACCCCCCCCCCGGCGGGGAAGGGATCAAAGGGAATGGGTTTCTTTTCGACGCATTTACGACGTTGCTCATTTTCGTTTTGGCTGGCGCGCTTGAGGAGGAGGGGGAAGGCCCAGGGAGAGGGCGGGTAGCGCCACACGCCGACAGGGTCGGCGGATTTGGGAGCAGGCGCTCAGTCGATTCTGAACAACGGTTGGGCGCAGATGCTGGCTGGCTTTTGGGCTGTGCGCCTTCGACGCTGGGCGGCGGCGGGTCAGCAAGGGCCCGAGTCTCGCGCTTGAGGCGGGGGAGGCCGACTTCGAGGACATTTTCGTGCAAATCGCACAGGCCGCAGATTTCTCCGTGGAGGAGATGGGGCGGCCGTTGAGGGAGTTCGTAGACCAGGGAATGGCCGAGCGTGCCTCAGGCAGACAGGTGACCGAGACGCGGCCGACGCCACACCGCCGCTGGGGGCCCGTGCGATGGCGGGGATTCGCTTCGCGCGGAGGTGCCGCGCGGCAGCCGAGGAGACCCGTGGCGGGTTGGAGGTGCAAGAGTGGGCTCGGTGGGGGCCCCGCGTGATCGCGCTTCTCGAGGAGATGGGGGCGCCTGTCGAGACGGCGCAGGCCTGCATGGGCCCGGAGCGGGCGAAGGACGGCGTCATTGGCCGCACGCGCATCAACATTGAAGTCGCACGTGCGGGCCATGGAGACGATGCGCACTTGGCTCTTGCGCGCGCACGGGGCCCCGTGGCTCGCGACGATGGCGCAGCTCATCAACAACGTGCATGCTAGGGCGGCCGTTCTGTGTGGGCCGCCAGTACCCGTACAGACCCTGCGCGCCATGGTGTGGACGGAGCGGGTTGCAGGTGCCGATCCGAAGCAGAGGCCCCCCGTTCGAAAACATGCGATACCAGAAAAGGTGTGTGTGTGTGCGTGTTCGATGTTTTGTGCGGCTGGCTTGAGCAGAAAAAACGACTTCATTGAACAACCGACTGTCTTGTCAAGACTGCTGCAGCACAGTAAGCGTTTCGTTCGACACGTCCTCAAACCATGCTTCCAGACGGGTCTTCAACAACGTCATGCTGAAAACATTTTTTTTTTTTTTTTTTTTTTTTTTTTTTTCATATGACCGTGATGACGGAGATTATGCACGTGGTGATGACGGTGGTGGTGGTGATCGTTTTGGTAATGGTTGTGATGATGGTGATGCTGATGATGATAATGATGGCGATGCTGATGGCGGGGTTGGCGATGGTAGTGGTGACGATGATGGCGATACATCGGATGGCGCTACTGAAGGCGAAACGGACAACACGGGAAGCGTACGGACGGGTGTGGGGGATAACCAGAAACATGATTGTGAATGCTTGGGGAGCGCGTGCCCATCAGTATCCCCAGTAAACGTTCAGGGCGCTCGCTTAAATTACATATGGTCGCGATCGCGCTGCGAGTGTTAGCGCAGTTTTTCGCTTTTACGCGTTTCCTATTCATGTCAAGAGAGGTTTTCTGCGGAGCACCCCGCGCAACACGGTGGCGAATGACGGGAACCGTGTTTCGATCTGAAACGTCGCGCGATGGACGTCTGCCCAAAGGAACATTTTTCCAAGTGGAAAGGTCCAGGGGGAGAGCGGTGGAGGTTTTCTTTGGGGAGCTCGTGGTGGGTTTCGAAAGTGGGTGTTTCGCTTGACGCATCGTCGCGAGGCGATACTTAGGAAACTATCGTCGAAGTCGTCCTGTGCTAAGCATGAACGTTTCGATTGGGACACCCTCACAAACTGGAGATGTTGAAGCCCGCTGGCGTACTTCTCGGGTTTGGGGAATCCCGCCTGAGACATCTTTGAACAAGTGGGATGTTGAAAAACCTGCTCTGAGACCCCTTTATGCTTAACTTGGAGCTTTCGCTCGAAGCATCCCCATACAGTAGAAGTGTTGAACTCGCTCGTGATATTGTCAGGTCTTTGCACATGGCGCTCTCGCCACAGGCATCTTTTAACCATATTAGATGTTTCAGTAACTGTGGTACGACATCTTTTTTGGGGGCTCTTGGAGGCTCCCAGAGTTGGCCCAAGAAGGGAATTAATTGAAGAACCGTTTGTTTTGTAATACCTTTGTTCTAAAGTAAGCACATCACCCGAGACATCCTCAAGCAATGCCGTCGGGCGGGTCTTCGGAACCATCATAGTATGAAGAAGATGCCGATGATTGCGTTGATGATGATTCTTATGAGGATTCGGATGCTGATGCTGATGCCCTCGATGTTGTCGAAGGTGATGCTTGCGCTAATGCTGTTGGTGATGATTGTGCTGTTGATGATGCTGGTTCTGGTGATGGTGCCCTCTTGCTAATGATGATGCTGCTGATGATGATGATGATGATGATGATGCTGATGGCCATGCTGATGTGATGTATGATGCTGATAGCGATGATGATGAACGTGTGGGCGAGACGGAGGAAACAGGAGGAGTACAGAAGACTGAGGAGGAGAAGCAGGAACAGGCTTGTGAACGTTCTGGTAGCACGCGTCCATAGTTATCCCCTGTGGACGCTCGGAGAGTTCGCCCACATTACAGTTGATCGAGATGATGCGGGACGTTCTTGCACAGCTCTTCGCTTTCACGCGCTTCCCGTTCATGTCAGGAAAGGTTCCTGATATATTGGAGTACCCGGCCCTGTGGCCCTGGAGCCGAAGACCACCATGGGAGCTCGGAGTCCCTAAACTTCCCATCGCGCCCCCGGGGCCTCCCTGGAGGCTGTTCCAGGCTCTCTTCCTCAGCTCTGGGGCCACTCATGTTCTTCAGTGTCCTCCAAGAAGCCACAGTGGGCTACAAGCAGGCCCAGGATTGCCTGAAGACGGCAGGGGAGGAGGGAGGGGGCATGAGGGAGGGAGGGAGGGAGGGAGGGAGGGAGGATTCCTCCTTCCTCCTGCTCTTGTTCTTCCCTCCCCTGCTCGGGGGACTCCAGCTGCACTGTTGCACCGATGCTGGCCGGGTCGGCCCTGAGCCAAGAGTCGGTGCACATGCCCTCCTGGTCAAGTCAGCAGGGCAGGCGCAGCAACCCTGGGCCAAGGGCGGGCCTGGCCAGGATCTGCGTAGGTGCATATAGTGCGTCCTCCTACCCGCTTTCTGCTCCGTGGCTCTGGACCGAGCTCAGGTGGTCAACTGGCTCCGTGGCTGTGGACCTGGAGGTGCGGTTCGTCTCCCCAGCCCAGGCCAGCGAACTCCTCTCCATGCCCGCCGACCTGGCGAAGCGCGAGCCGAGCCCGGGCATCCCGAGAGAGGTCTTAGGGGGTGCTCCTGCAGGAGGGATGCGGATGCTGCTGATGTTGTTGGTGATGATGATGGTAATGTTGAGGATGATGACTACGACGATGATGCTGATGCTGAGGATGAGGATGATGCTGCGAATGATGATGTTTATTATGGTTTTGGTGGCGATGAAGATGGTGATGGTGATGATGATACTGGTGATGCTGATGGTGATGCTGCTGATGATGATGTGGATGACGATGATGATGATGATGATGATGATGATGATGATGATGATGATGATGATGATACTGATGATGATGACGATGATGATGATGCTGCTGATAATGATACTGGGGATCCTGCTGATGATGATTATGATGATGCTGCTGATGATGATGCGAATGATCCTGCTGCTGATGATGACTATGATTTCTATTATGAGGTTGACATGGGTGATTCTGATTGTGGTGGTTGTGGTGATGATGATGTTGATGATACTGGTTATACGGATGATGATGTTGCTGATGATGTTGATGACGATTCTGATTATGATGAGGATACGGATGTTGATGATGATGAGGGTGATGATGATGACGGCGATTACGATGATGATGATGATGATGATGATGATGATGATAATGATGATGCTGATGTTGATGATCATGATGATGTCTTCGATGTGATGATGATGGCGATGATGACGATGTTGGTGATGATGGTGAGTGTCGTGGTGGTGGTGATAACGACGATGATGCTGATGCTGCTGCTGATAATGACGATATTGATGATGCTGCTGATGATGGTAATGGTCATGGTGATGATGAGGTTGATGATGCTGCTGGTGATGATGCTGTTGATGATGATGATGATGTTTATGATGATGATGTGGATGACGATGAGGGTGATGATTATAATGAGGAGGAGGATGGTGGTGGTGGTGTTGGTTAGTTGTGGTGGTGGTGGTGCTGATGATGATGGCGATGATGGTTATGCTGATGCTGCATATGATGATGGTGAGGATGCTGATGCTGATGCTGCTGATGATGATGCTGATTATGATGGTGATGCTGCTGATGCTGCTGATGCTGCTGATGATCACATAGATGATATAGATGATATAGATGATGTTGCTGCTGATGATGATGATCATGATGATGATGCTGATGATGATGATGCTGATTTTGATGATGATGATGATGTTGATGATGACGATGGTGCTGATGCAGGTAATGATGCTGATTCTGCTGATGTTGATGCTGATGCCGATGCTGACACTGATGCTGATGCTGATGCTGATGATGCTTCTGCTGATGCTACTGATGACGATGATGCTGATGATGATGATGATGATGATGATGATGATGATGATGATGATGATGGTGGTGGTGGTGATGATGATGATGGTGTCAAGGACCAATGCACAATGATCGCGCAGCGCCCGCGCTTTCACCAGCTTTCCCACACAGTGTGCTTTGCAGTGTGTGGTGGCAGGGATGGTGGGTCTGACAGTGGTCGCCCGCGCACGGACCAGATTTTGCTTGGACACATCCTTAGAGGAGGGCCGCCACGACGGTTGGCAGGCCCAGGCTTTGATTGCTTCGCAGCCTTCTTTCGTCGCGGCGTCGCTGACGGCCATGAGGCGCTCTCCGGACAAATGGCAAATCCCCGGGCTCCCTGGACATCGATGCCTCAGACTCTAGCGTTCTTTGCATGCCATCGCGAACCTGATGCCCTCGCGCGTCCTCGCCGCAGCCCTGCGGACCAATTTGAACGGGTGGATGACTGCCCGTCGGTTTCAACTGCAGGGCCAGTGCTTGCTCGGCTGCCAGAGGCTCGAGGATTCCGTGACGCACTACGGGAGGTGCGCATGTTGCCATCCGCTTTGTGGGCGCTTCCTGAACTTGGCGAGACCTCCAGCGGGCCACGAATTGGAGGAGTTTCCGCCCCTGGGCGGGGGGGCGCTACTGAGGACGCGCCATGGCTTTCAGGGCGCTGAGCGCTTATGCATTGTATCGCACCCGCAATGCGGTGCGTTGCGCCGGCTCTTCGGGCCCGCGTGCGGATCTCTTCCGGGGCTACTTGCGCGAGGGGGTGCGGGGCCACGCGAAGGCATCGTCATTGCTGCAGGCGACGTTCAAGCGCCCGCGCCCAGAGTGAGAAGTGATAGTTCCGGGCCGGGGGCCTCCGCGCGCAGTTGTGTAGGAAATCCAAAGGTGCATGAGCGCGCCCGAGCGTGAAGCAGAACATACCCTTCAACAGTTTTAACGCTGGAGCGGCCACCGGAGGTGGTTGCATTTGAACCCAGATTTATTCCTCATTTCCTGCCCTCCCCTCCCTTTGTCCTTTTTTCCCCTCGCCCCTCTCCTTGGCTTCTCGTTCCCCCGCGTGGTCCGCGGGCCTCGTGGGCGGTAAGGTTTAGGCTTCACGTCGGCTCCCGCCTGTTTCCTTGGTATCGGGTCAACACGCGTGCTCGCCTGGCGTGTGCGGTGCCCGTGTTTTGTTTTGCAGATTTTTTGATTATTGTGCGTGTTTGTCATCTCCTCTCGTCGTCGTCGTCGTCCTCCTCCCCCTTCTCCTTTTTCTTCTCTTGTCAGCAACGTTTCCACTCGAGTTGGGGAGCTTGCGTGGATGACTTTGACTCGGTCGTGCGCGCTAGCTTGAATCATGTTGCAGGCTAGTCGACCTCTGCTTGGGCGTGTCAGGGTCCACGCGTGTCGGCGAGCTGTGAGAGCCGATTTCGGCCACTACTCTGCCCTCTCCCTTCTTCCTCCCTCCTCCTTTTCCTCCTCCTCCCTTTCCTCTGCACGGGAACTGCCCGGCGTTGATTTTTACGTCCGGTTGTTTGGCTGCGTGACCCCACCGGGCATTCCTGACGCAATTCCGTCCAGAGGTTTTGTTGCTTGTGAAGCGGTGTAGTTTGCCAGCGTTGGCAGTGCTTTCGAGGTTATTTCACGGTGGTGTTTCGCTGTGGTGTTGTCCGTTCCATCCCCATATCTTCGTTCAAAAACAAGAGATGTGTGGGGGGCGCAGTGTCTTTGTTTTGTCGTCGTTCGGTTGGGGGGGCGTATGTTGATAAGAAAAACTAATAAACCCCTCCCCGAAGGGGAAGAGAGAAGATGGAAGAGGAAACCCGCTAAACCACTCACGCCCAGGGGGCTGCTGGGATTGGTATGATGCATGTGCGTGCAGTGGGGCGCATCGTACCAGAATGTCCTCCTGCGTCCCACGCCGGTCGCCGAGACCGCTGGCCCCTCCACTGAGGGTTTCAACGGGGACTTTACCCAGGCTCCGCCAGAGCTTGCCGCAGCTGGCAGCGGACGGCGCGCGGACCGCCGCTCCCGTCGAGGCAACACCCGCCGACCTGCCGCCACTCGCCGCGGTCGCCAAGGCTTCCAACTCCGAGTTTCCTCCGCCCTCCCCTGGGGCCCCACACCCTGGGTGGTTGAGTACCGCCACCCTCTGTCCCTTCTCCCTCCTCGTCCCCCCTGTCCCTGCGGCCCACGACTTCGCCGTTCCGAGACGCGGACGGTGGCCTTGATCGGCCGCAGCCAGACCAATTTGGCAGCCCAGGCGGGACCCGCCCAGCATGCTTGTTTCTCTGTTTGCACAGTTATGTAGCTGGTCGACCTTTATGGCGTCCGCTCCCCGTGGGGGACGGGGTGGGGCGGGCGCGTGGATGGTAGGGCATCGCCCACGTCCGTTCCATCCTTTCCTTTCTCGAAACGTCATATTGGGGCGTCAGGGTAAACACCCTCCCCGTGGACTCGCTCCACCACGGGTGGTGGCACTACCCCCATGGATGAGTTCCACCACGACTGGTGGCATTCGGTCTCGGCCATCCCATTTGCTTTCAGGACGTGGCCCATTGTAGCGCTGGCATCTGGTAGCGCGCATTTTCCGGAACCGCCTCGCAGTTTCCAGTGCGGGACAACCGCTTTGTTTTTTCAAATAGGTTTAGGTTATTTTTCAAGCCCGTAGCTAGCTTGGAAATCCGCCCCTCCCCTCCCTCGTCCTTCGGTTCTGCTTCCCTCCTCCTTGGTCTCCTCTGGTTTGTGGCCGCCCTGTGGGCAGTGGGTTTTCGTGCCTGTATCACTCTCGCCTTCGCGCTTTGCCGCCGCGTTTGCCTGGCAACGGGGTCGCCCCAGGCCCCCCCCCCGCGGGTGCCCCGATGCATTTGCGCTGCCTGGTGTTGGGCCCCGCTCCCACAAATCCGCCGTGATCCTTGCCCGCCGGGGTCGCTGTCTAATATCCAGTTCAATGATCGCTGGGCGCGCGTTCCGCTAGTTTGGGCGGTGTTTCCAAACCCGTCCGAATCGTTGCGCTCTCTCGTTCTCTCGTTCTCTCTCTCTCTCTCTCTTGTTCTCTCTCGTTATGTTTCTTCTTTCCGTTCGTCTCCTTTTTTTCTCTCTCACATGTCTTGCTGTGCGGTTCGTCACCTGCTATCCCTAGGGCCCTCTCCCCCCAGCCCCAAGAGGGACGATGGCGATGATTGTGATGACGATGATGGTGTTCATGATGATGCTGATGATGATAAAATAATGATGATGGAGGTGATCATGACTGTGGTGGAGGTGGTGATGTTGTTGGTGGTGGTTGTGATGCTCATGGTTGTTATGATACGAGTGGTACTGGCGATGATGTCGATTGGCGTGGTGGTGGTGATGGTGATGGAAATGGTGGTGGCGACGATCATTGTGATGAATGTGGTGGTATTTGTGGTGGTCGCGGTGCTGGTGATGGTGATGAAGATGACGATGGTGATGATGATGGCGGTGATGATTATGATAATGAAGATGATGGTGAATTGTGTGGTGATGGTGGTGGTGACGATGATGCTGCAGATGGTGATGGTGATGACGCTTGTCATGATGATGGCGGTGGTGGAGGTGGAAGTAATGATCATCGTGGTTGTGAGAAGAACGGGGAGGAGGATGAGAAGGAGGAGGAGGAGGAGGATGGGGAAAAGGATGAGGAGGAGGAGGAGGAGGATGGGGAGGATGAGGAGGAGGTGGAGGAGGCGGAGGAGGAGGAGGACGAGGAGGAGGACGAGGACGAGGACGACGACGAGGACGAGGACGAGGAGGAGGAGGAGGAGGTGGACGAGGAGGAAGGGAGGGAAGAAGAGGACCGAAAACTCCTCCTTCCATGGCCTGGCAGCCACAGCAGCTCCCAGCCGTGGCCGCGCGCGCCCCCGGGCCTTGACCTCGCTGGCGGGGCGCATGCCCAGTTGCCGCTCGGCGAGGCCACCAAGGGCACGCCGCGGCGGCCACCGCTCCCCAGCACCCAAGGCGACCGGGGCGGCCGCGGCGTGCCGCGGCATGCCGCGGCGTGACACGCCGCAGCGCCCAGGGCGGCCGCGGCATGCAAGGCCTAAACAGTCAGCCGCGGCATGCCGTTGCGGCCTCTGCTTTTCAGTCCCGCCCAGGAGGCTCCATCCCCCAGGATGCCCCAGGAGGCTTCAGGAAACCGCAGGAGGCCTCAGGAGGCCACACCCCTTTCCCTCACGCCCCATCCTCGCCAACATTAGTTTTTGGATGATAATGGTTCTGATGATGATGATGATGATGATGATGCTGATGATGATGATGATGATGATGATTATGATGATAATGATGATGATGATGATGATGATGGTGGTGATGGTGATGATGATTATGATGGTGATGGTGATGGTAATGGTGATGGCTATGCTGATGGTGATAAAGACGATCAATATTATGGTAACGATGATGATGCTGATGCTGACCATGCTGATACTGATGATGATGTTGGTGATGGTGATGATATTGTTGATGCTGATAATGTGGATTATGATGGTGATGGTGAAGGTGATGGTGATGGTGTTTGTGATTATGATGACGACGATGACGACGACGCTGGTAAGGATGATGCTGATGATAAGTACGATAATGATTATGGTGAAGACGAGGAGGGTGGTGACTATGGTTCTGATTATGATGGTGATGGTGATCATCAGGACGGCGACGATAAAGGACGATGATGATGATGATGATGATGATGATGATGATGATTGTGATGATGATGTTGATGATAACGACGATGATAGTGCTGATGGTGATTCTTCTGACGCTGATGATGACGGTGATGGTGATGGAGATGGCGAGGATGATGGTAATGGTGATGGTGTTGGTGATGGTGAAGGTAAGAAATATTAGTGAAGATGCTGATGATGATGGTGATGATGCGGATGATGATGATGATGATGTTTATGATGATGATGATGGTGATGATGATGCTGATAGGGGATGATGATGATAATGTTGATGATTATGATGACGATGATGATGATGATGATGATGATGATGATGATGATGATGCTGATGATGATGATGATGATGATGATGATGTAGCGAGCGGTTGCGGGAGCTCGCGGCCCGTGGGCCGGTTTCTGAAACTGTTCTAGATCTGAAGAACCGCCAATACGAGACCTATCTTAATTCGCTTCACCCGCAGATTCCTGACTGTCCTGAGTACAAGGAGCAGGAGGGGGCGGTTTGGCCGTCGCGGGAGGGGGACGGGGGAGGGGTGCTCGTCCACCTGCTGTCCTGCCTGGCCCGTCCCTGGAGCGTCGGATGCCGCTCGGGGCCTGACGGCCCAATGGATGAGGTTGAGGGGGGGCAGGCGGTCGAACACCCAGCATGTCCTCCGAAGCGGGGCGCCTGCCTGTTTGCGTGCCGACTCGGCAGGACGCCTCGTATGGGGGCAGGGCGGGCCTTGCGCCCAAGGAGCCTAGTCGGCCTCGCGATCCGCGATGTTCCGAGGCCCTGCGATTTCGTAGTCCCACGCAAACGCTTCTCGTGGAGCTCTTCGATTCGATGAGGATAAAGCTGGAGGCTTCGGGACCGCCGACGAGGTGCGGCATTCCTCCTGCCCATGTGTATTGCAGGAAGTATCGACTACCTGTTTTTTCGCTGTGTCGGCGGTGCCGGGGTTGCCCCGAACTCGCCTGCTTCTCCGGCTTGCCTGCTTCGGCTGAATTTGCAAACCCGCTAGCGATTTGAATGTAGTTACGCGGCACTTATTGGCATCCAGCTGCACGCCGCGCGCCGACGCAGCAACGCGGCAGCGTTCCGCTCTCTTTCCTGCCTCACGCCCGCGTGGGCGAGCGTGAATGGCAAGTTGCAGGATGCCCTTCGGGAGGCTGAGAGGGCACTAGCGCCACCCAGTAGGTGTGCTCAGGCTTGCGCAGATAGCAGAAGGCCTTGCGGGGGGAAAGAACATCGATGAGGAGGAACATGCTGATGGCGAAGGAGTCTATGATGATGATGATGGTGGTGATGGTGGTGATGATCGTGATGATGATGGTCGTGATGGTGATGGTGGTGATGGTGATGATAATGCCGATGATGATGATGCGTCGGATAGTGATGGTGCTGGTCGTGGTGATGAGGATTTTGGCGAGCATGGTGATGCTGATGATGAGTTTGAGTCGGTGATGATGAGTATGCTGGTGGTAATGATGATAGCGGTGGTGGTGATGCTGCTGTCGATGATTACGGTGATGAGGGTGGCGATAAGGCTGCTGATGATGTTGGGGGCCCTTCTGCTGATTATGTAGACGACGATGGCGATGTTGCTGATGATGATGAGGATGGGGAGGAGGAGGAAAAGGGGCCGAGGCATGAGGCGGGGCTTCTGCGCCGGTCGACCGTCGAACATCCGCCCCGTGGCGCCAGCTTGCGCTGTCGTGCGCCGCGGCGCTCGCAGCGACGTGGCCGGCGGCGCCGGGTGCGACCAGTGCCGGGGCGCTCCTCCAGCCAGGGCCACGCGCCCTGCGGCGCGCGGTCACGGTGGCGGAAAGAGTTCGGCGGAGGACGAGCTCGAGGAACACATAGCGGTGCACGCATCAATTTTTCGAGGTCCGCGTGGGTTTCTCAGGTCTTCGCTCCCCCCCCCCCGCCTGGCGCGATAGGGGCGGCGCTGGACGCGCCGTTGCTAAGGGTGCCCAGCGCCGATGCGTGAAATCGGCGCGGACATCGGACAGTTTATGTTTCTGCCGTCTCTGTTGCTCTTCCACGAACGCGCCGCTGGTGCCGGCAACGCGCGGCGGAAGTCGGCGTTTCAAATAAGGGCCAGTGAAGGATGGGGGGGGTCTGCTATGTAATTAATTTACCATTTTTTCGCCGAAGGGTTTACGATTCGTAAATGTACGGGCCATTTCTTCTTACATCGGCGGGAAATTTTTGTTTGGGGTATATCAATTCTGTAGTCGATCCCTTACTCGAGTCCTCAGGACAAGAGATTTTGAGCAAGGGGAATTCAGCGGACCCTTCCTTTTCTCAGGGCCCCACCCCTGACAAAAACCCGAGGAACGGGCCCCGCCTCGGAGGACGTGGCCACGCTGGAGAGGGCGCTGGCGGCATCCCCCGACGCGGAGGGGGACCTGCTGTGCGGCGCGTGCGGGCACTTTGTCGCGCGCCTGCGGCACAACGAGGGCAGCGGCAGGTACATGTCGGGGGCTGCCAAAGGAGTTCCTGGACCAGGCCCAGGGTGTCCCCAGGATCGGGATCCCGCAAAGGGGGGGGGCACAGATGTGCGCGTGTGCGTCTGTGAGAGAGAAAGAGTTCGATCGGTTTTTGCACCGAACCGCCCGAAACAGATGCCCCCCCAGCCGCCCGCAGCCCCCGATAGTTGCCGGTCGGTGGGGGATGCGGGGGGGTGGGCATTTGCTTGCGGCAGTTCGGTGCACCGACGGATTGAACTCACGCCCCCCCTCAGGGTCATCCCCCGTTTGGTTGATCCCGGCAGGAGTCCCAGGGAGGCCTAGGCAAGATATGCGCTGACCATGACCGAGGTGTCGAGGGATAGTTACTGTCGACGCGGATCTTGGCCGTGGTCCATGCAAGCCGTCCAAGATTCACGGGGACGATCCACGAATAGTCAACAGGGCTGAGATGGACGGTGACCAAGGTCGGCACCGACGTTTCTGCGTTCGGCTTTCGTTATGGTCGCCGCTTTCTTTCTCTCCGCAGATGGCCGCCATAGCACCCCTTCACGCGGCCCGGAGGCCCCCAAAAAGCTCCAAGATGGCTCGGAAAGCTTGGGGCACCTTGGGCCTGGACCACCTTCTAGGATGCAACTCCAGGGAGGTTCAATTCAACATCGGCGCTGGCATATCCGAGGTCAACCGGTCGAATCGGGCATAATCCCGTATAGTTGTCTTTAATTCCGTTTCATCCAGCTTAACCGTATGCTTGCTTTGGCCTCACATGTGTGGTCCTTCATGGGAGCCTCAGAGGGTCCCAGAGTTCCTTGTGGTATTTCGGATTTCGCACGAATTTCGCCGGATTTGTTGACATTTAGTCGACATTTGGACGAATTCTGGACGAAAGGGTGAAGAGGGGTGGTCGAAATTGGACGCAATCCGGTGGTAATCGCGTGTTTTATAGGGCCGCGGAGGTCCATAGGCTCCTTCGAAGGCTCACCTTACCTGGCGTGGCTCAATGGGCCCCTCGTCTGGCCTGATCGCCGTTAAGTGTTCTTGCGAAGACCTCCCATTCCGATTGGTTTCCCCCCGAAACAACCGAACGCGCCCCGAAACCCTCGGGAAACCCTCCCCGAATTCCGGAAGGGTTTCAGGAAGGTTTTGGTCGTTTTGGGAGGAAACCAGTCCCTCGCGAACCTTTGGCTTTCGAAAGTTCCTTATGCGACCACCCTCTCTGGGCGATACGGCGGTTGTGTGGGGGCTGGGAACCGACCGATGATGACAACTGTGATGGGGCCCCATCGGGACACCCAGGGGGCAAATAGATGCTGCCATCGAGACACCATCAGGATACCATCGGTGTACCATTGGAAAATCATCGGAACACCATCGGGACACCATCGGGATACCATTGTGGTCCATCCGTCCACTATTTTTCTTTCGATCTCATTATGGGCTTCACGAAAGGTCCCGCTATCGATATCACTAAAGTTATCTTCTGACACCTCTGGCAACCCCCGATGCATGAACCCAGCGGGTTTCCTATTCCACATCGGCGTGTTCTCTCGGGCCGAGGGCGCGCTGCCTCTGGGCGCGGCGTACGCCGAGGGATCGTGGTTCCCCGGCTACACGTGGCGGATGGGTCACTGCGTTTCGTGCGGCGCGCACCTGGGCTGGTCGTACCAGGGAGCTGGGGCAGCTAGCCGGGGGGCCGAGAAGTCTCAGTGGCACGCAGTCTGGGAGGAGGAGGGGGACGAGGACAAATATGATGACGGGGGAGGAGGAGACGGATGGCAGAGGACGAGACGGAGGAGGAGAAGGAGGTTGATGATAATGACGACGATGTTGATGATGATGATGGCGATGATGTTGATGATGATGATGATGATGATCAGGATGATGCTGATGATGTTGGTGATGGTGCTGGTGATGGTGATGATGATGGTGACGATGATGGTTATACTGATGCTGCGGATAATGAGGGCGATGATAATGTTGATGATTATGCTGCCGATGATGATGTTGATGATGCTGGTGCTGGTGATGCTGCTGATGCTGATAGCGGTGACGGTGATGGCGATGGTAGTGCCGATGATTTTGTTGATGATCATGATGATGCTGCTGATGGTGATGGTGGTGATGCTGCTGGTGACGATGATGAGTACGATGATGCTGCTGATGATGCGGGCGATGGTGATGTTGATGACTGATGATGATGATGACCATGGTGATGCTGCTGATGATGATTATGGTGGTTATGATGTCGATGCTGATGCTGGTGCGGTTGATGATGGACGACGATAATGCCGATGATGATGATCATGATGAGTATGGTGATTATGATGATGAGGGTGTTGTGATGCTGATGATGATGAGATGATGATGGTGTTGATGATGATGCTGATGATGATGCTGATGGTGCTGATTATGATGGTGATGATGATGATAATGATGCTGGCGGTGACGATGACGATGATGATGATGATGTTGATGATGATGATGATGATTATGAAGATGATGGTGATGATCTTGATGTTGATAATGATGATGAGGAGGAGGAGGACGACGAGGAGGAGGAGGAGCAGGAAGAGGAGGAGGAGGAGGAGGCGGAGGAGGAGGAGGAGGAGGAGGAGGAGGTGGAGAAGAAGGAGGAGGAGGAGATGGAGGAGGAGGAGGAGGAGATGGAGGAGGAGGAGGAGGAGGAGGAGGGCCAGGAGGACTGACAGAGGAGGAGGAAAAGGAGGAGGAAGAGGAGGAGGAGGAGGAGGAGGAGGTGGAGGAGGAGGGGGAGGAGTCAAGAGCGGGCAGGACGATGAGGAGCAGGCGAGGGAACACGTTGCCGTGCAGGACATCCCGGCCCCCGCCAACGGGGCCGCTCCCCCCGCGCTTTGGGGTCTGATTTGGGACCGGCTGTCCGCCGCTCCGCGAGCGGGCGGCGCCAGCCATACCCCTGTCGGGCCGAGCAAGAAAATCAAGCTGCGCGTCATCATCACCAGCATCACCATGATGATGATGATGAGGATGATGATGAGGATGAGGATGAGGATGAGGATGAGGATGAGGATGATGATGCTCATGATGACGATGATGATGATGATGATGATCATCATCATCATTATCATCCATTTTGGTTCAAGCTCTTGTCGGGATCCCAGAGAGCTCGTGACGTGGGGCTCTTGGAGCCCCCTGCTTTCATTCCGCTACATCTCCCCGAGTTTGTGTTCTTTCCAGTCTTTCTTTCGTGCGATGGGATACCTCTTCGGCGAAGAGGTCGCGGGGCAGCCTCCGCTCCAGCGGGCGCGCGTCGGTGACATCATGGGCCTCGATGGCGACGCCAGAGGGGCCCTAGCTCCAGGGGCCCCAGGTGGAGGAGTGACACTCGACCCGACTCTCGGTCTTGGTCGTGAGGCAGCTGCGCTGGTCAATGCGATCAAGGCGGCCCATGAATCCAGATTTCGGCAACGTCCGGCGATATGTCGAGAACGCACGCGCCCAGCTGACGATCATGAGCCTGAAGGCGGGCCGGATGACCGCCATAATGGGCGCGCTCTTATCCCGCGTCGACAATACAGACAAGAACGCGCAGGATTCATGAGCAGGACAGCCGCCCTGGAGCAGGGGGGGGTGCATCGAATCGATCAGGGCAGGAGATTTGGGAGGTGCTCGATGTGGGTCTGGTGGCAGCTACGCAGGCAACCCCCATAGTCGTGGACAGGGTTGGAAACCAAAAACACGTCGCCAGATTATTGTTGCGGGTGGTTTTCCGACAGACACCGAAAAGCAGTGGTCTTGACAAAGATGCGTACATTCGCGGCGCGGAATCCCTGTTTCCAGCATGGACGGGACCAGACCTCGTGGGGGACATCTACACACTAGGGCCATTCGCGTTTCCAGGGCGTCTACACACCAGGACATGTTCTTTTCCTTCAGGAGGCAGTCTGCTCCGAGACCTTCCAGGTTAGTGCCGTGGACGGTGGTCGCATCCCTTTTTGATTCGAGCTCCTATGAGGGGCGTAGAAGGATTGCTATCATTGTTCATCGTTCGTTCGAGGGCGACGTCAACGCTACCTTCAAACAGCGAGGGGCAACCAGATCCGTGGGGCTCAGGTGGGGCTCGCAGAGTATCCTCCTCGGCTGTGCTCATCGACCTCCTTGCCACAACGTAGGCGAATCTAGTCAGAGTGTTGATCGTATCCATGAACTAATAGATGAACGCTCGCATGACTACCGCATGTTTGACGTGGATGCCCAGGCTACCGTCGGAAATCGTCAAAGTGCACCGTGGGTGGGTCCTCGCACTACCTCTAGACGCGATCTCGTCGCCATTTCCTGGACCTCGTTCGGACTCGCGACCTCGTTCTCCTCAACACCATGGACCCCCCTCCCCAAGATTGTTCGACGTGTCGCCACGATTATATACCTGGTTCCCCAGCTCAGCAAATCGATTACATCGGAGTTTCTCGAGACCTCCTCGATCGCCAGATCAAGTTTGAAGTTTCCTTGCCTGCGTCCGCGGCAGCGGAGTCGGACCGCAGGCCGAGTTGCGTCGCGCAGGATTTCAAGGTGCAGTTCCCGCAGGTTCCACTCAGGCCGTTCCTCGTCGGGGCGGAGAATGTAGCACGCTGAATGCCCCGAGCAGATCTGCGATGAACTGGGGCCCCCTCTTTTTCCCAGACAAGAGTTCGAACCAGATAGGGGGCCCCGGGACCCGTCGCATCTTGACCGACGGGGGCTTTGCCAAGGGGCGTCGTATTCCGAAATGAGTGGAACCGGAAGCTGGATGGGGGTTCGCGATCTTTCCCCAGGGATGCGATGCCCCGACCGTCAGGCCTCAGGTTCTGCTGTCCGCCAGGTGGCCCGTCGCGGACGACCCGCGGCGCAGGGCATTCTTGGGCGCGGCTCGCAGGGCCAACGGCGCGGTCGAGATCGTGGCTTTGATCGAGCTCATTGTCTGGTTTCTGAAACGGGCAGCATCAACGAGCTCTGTCGGCTCTACCAGGCACCCGTAAACGATGGCGATCCGACGGATCCCGGACCCCCGTTGGAAGCATTTTGCGCATCCACATCGATGCGAAATCTGCGATCCTAGCCGCCGAGGGAAAGGCGCGGCCGAAAGAAAACGCTATCCTGGCTTATCCCGTTCGGCACCTTTATCAGCAAGTTCGTACATTTAATCGTGTGAAGTTCGTCTCCGACCGTTCGCGTCAGGCCGAAAGCGCCGGGGGCGATTTCGCGGACTACCTAGCCAAACAGGGATCCAATCTCGAAGCTGATGTGCCGATGTGGACTCGTCCAGCTCAGGCGGGCTGGCCGCGCGAGGATTTTCTCCGTCTGCTGGTTGGCGCCCGGCAGCTCGGCCCACCGATGCACGAGCAGATGCAGCGCCAACAAAAGAGACCCGAAGTCAGCTGCCCGTCGTTCCCCATCGGAGACTTCTCGGGGGCGACCCTTCCTTCGCTAATGCCGCGCGCGGTTGCAGATGGAACAACTCCCCCGACCCTGGGCCAGTTCGCGAACGTGGTAGCGAACGTTGCTCCTTGACGTGGTCGAGGCTGTCCCAGGCGCTCTTCGGGCGCGGCCCCGCCAGGCGATCCTCCGGCGGCGCGAGCCGGAGATTTGCAGCGACAGCTGCGCGCGGGGGCGGGGGGCCGCATGCGCCAGCGCCAAGCTGAGGAGCCACGTCGAGCTAGGCGGCGTATTTCCAGAAAGCGGTCATCGGCTAAACTGAATGAGGCCCCGAGGACGAGACGATTCCCTGGTCGACCCAAAGCCCGCCCCCGAATCCCCGAGCTAAACTGGACCCAGTGCGACGTTGCCTTGGCGGCGACGACGACTCGACAGAAATCGTAGATGCGAGCGGATTTCTCATCGGAGCTTCACGGGAACGAGACCCCTTCGCCCCCTCGTCTTCAGCGCCCCCGGCCCCGCCCAGGCCAGCGTCGAAAGACCCGCCTTGGCTGCGACGTCGCTGGGGCCCGTCTGCATAGAAGTTTTCGGAGTTCTGGATAGTGGGCGGGTTCAGGATGCGCTATTCAAAATGAAAATGGGTAGGCGGGGATCTGGACTGGATGGGGCGGTGGTGGAGACGCGGGCGCAGTTGCCCGAGCAGGCTTTGGAATGCGCCGGGGAATGGCTCCGGCGCCGCCTCCGGGAAGCTCGAGGGGGGCAGGCCGGCGTCGCGCGGGAGGGACCCGCGCGATCAAACTCCTCGCCAAGGCCGGCTTCGCGAAGACGGGGGGGCGCCGCGAACTTGCGACCCTTCGCGCCCCTGCCGGCAACGTGCAAATTGCACGGCTATGCCTTGCTACTTCTACTTGGTCCTGAACGAAGACAACGATCGACGTGCCTGTTTGTTTCCAGGGGAGATTGCTAGGCCGAAGAAGTGATTTTCATCCTAAAGTTGCTTTTTGAAAGGCAACGAGCGGGGCCCCGAACGACCTCCCTTCGCTTTCGCGGGGGCCATCGTGAAGGCCGGCGGCTTTGCAGATAGATGGGAAGTAGCTATGGCGTGGGCTAAACCGAAGATGATGGTGGCGGGCTGGCTTAGAGAGATTGGCGAGATGTCTGAGACTGCCCCCCTGGGCGACCTCTCACGTTCTGCCCCGGCGGGGCGCGCTCGCTCGCTGGCGCAGGGGGGGCCCTGCAGCGCCCTTCTTTTTTAATCTGCCCCTCGGCAGCTTGGTCGAGACGTTCGCCTGGCGGTGCGAGCGCTGCAAGTGGAGTATCCGCTGGCAAGTATCCCCCGACCCCTTCCGAGGATTTCTTTCCTCCGATCCTGCGTTTGGCGGGCGACTTCTGGATCCCGGGCCGCGCCCGAAGGGGGGCGGGCATCGCGGCGGAGTTCCGGCTCCAGATTTTGAGGGGGGAGGCTACGAGGTGGACCTCGTAGAGTGCCAGTGGCCCAGCGCGCCCTTTGCCTCGGCGCACTGTTGGGCGAGCCCGTCAGCGCCCGGGGCCGAGAGATCGCGCCATGGAAGTGGCGAGACGGCCGCGGGGTACAGAATGTCCCAGGCTTGGAAGACTGGGTTCGAGTGGCGCTCCGTCTTCTGCCCGCGCCGCGCGCCCGTGGAGAAGCGGCCCCTCTCGTGCGACAGCGCGGCGCGCAACGGTCTCTCTTGGGGGGCCAAAGGGTGGGCGCGCAGAAAGGATCAGTTCGCAGAGCTCAGAGGCCTCTAGGACACCATGCACAGAGGAGTTTTCGGCTTCAGAGAGACTTCGGAGGAGCCCTGGGGCCAGTTCCAGCACCGTGCGCGTGGACTGATCAACGCGATGAGAAAAGATTCGATATCCCCGGCTGGGGCGATTCTATATCTAGTGACAGTGCAGCATCGGTGGGCAGGACATCTTGAAAGCATGAGTGAGAGCGACCCCGCCCGTCTGACCCTCCAGGCCCTCCATTTTCGCGATGCAAGGCCCCTTCGTCGGCAAGAGGCGGCTGTGTGTCGCGGCTGACAAGGCCACTCGCGTAAGCTTCGCCCTTGGAGGTGGCAGTCCTTCCTTTCTCGCTGCCCCCATCTCTGCCGACCGTGGAATTGTGTTGCGCGATTTCCAGAGCCTTGTGCCATGGCATGAATACACTTGTACAATGGCGTTCGGCTGCGCACTTTTAGCACGCTATATTTTTGTAGTCTGGCACCTCTGGCCGAGGTCCGTTTCGAGGAGCATGCATACATGCATGCTCACGTACATCATCATCACCAGCATCATCATCATCATCATCATCATCGTCAGCACCAGCATCAGCATCATCATCATCATCATCACAATCAGAACCTCGTCCTCCCTCCTCCGATCCTCCTCCAGCTTGTCCCTCCTCCTTCCCTCCTCCCCGTGCCTTTTTCATCCCTCCTTCCTCCCCTCCCTCCTTCCTCCCCTGCTTCCCCCTCCCCCCTCCTGTCTCCCTTTTCTTGCCCCCCCCTCTTTTCCTCCTGGCGCTGGCGCTGTTGGCGCGAAGGTCGACGTCCGACGCTGCCATCCCCCCGCCCCCTTCTCCCCCCCCTCCTTGTCCTTTCCCTTCTCCTTCTTCGCGGCGGCATGCGCGGCGTTCGCGGCCGTCGCGCAGGCGGGCGTGCATTTGCAGGGTCTAGCAGCGACAACCGTTCGCGCGGAATCGTAGTTTTCATTCGTAAAAGTTGGCTCTGGCAAGTTTACAGATTCCAGGTACTTTTGCAATATTCGGCGCTCGCAGTCATCGAAGGAAAATAAGACTACAAATGATTTTGGCGCATTTCTACACGCATTGCTTACGCCTGCAACCACATTCAGCAATTGTGTGGCACCACTAGCGTTATACCCCGCGAAACCCGCTCCTGAGCGGCTTGCGTTCGTGGGCGCGTTCTTCTGCAAACCTTTGGACAAGCTTACTACATGCACAATAATTGGCGGACAACCTAAACAGACAGTGCGACCACATATTCGTGGTCCGGCGCCTTCTATTTGCGTACCGGAATACCAAATCCAACGACACTGTTGATTTCAACTCCGATAGCAAAGCCGTAGCGTTACACGTACGTTTAAAACCATTGAAGCCCAACACCACAAAACGGTCTGACCAACCGCGGCCGACCAGTTTCTCCCGCCTGTCGACGTCCAGGTCGCGCAGACCCCGTCGAGCACCAAAGACACCGGGGATCAAAACTACAGGGCGACCGTTTACTTGCCGATCCATACGATTTCAACGACGCAATCGGGGAGAGTCTGAACAATGCCATGCGCCCCAGAACGAGCCATGAGGAAACGCAGCCAGCCACGAAGACGACGACTGACACCAACAAAGGCGACGGTCCAGACAGCAACCATGGCGACATCATCTCCCGCCTTGTGGGCCAGCAGAAGGACGGTCAGAAGACGAACTACTAGCAAACCGATACAAAAAAAAACACGCCCGACAACAACAGCGCAGCATCCGACTGCAGCAAATAGGCAATATCTTCGAAGAACACAGAGGCCTCAAACGCATAAGCTTCATCAAGACTATACGAAAGCGAACGCTGATCACACATGTACAGGAGCGACGGCACCAAGCACATTACCCGCCAGGGCATCGCCAACGTATCCGCGACTTCCTACGGGGAAGTATACAAGTCCACCAGCACCCACGACGCACCACTAACCACAAACAATACCCAGAGCCACGGCCCACCATTCACGGAAAAATATTTCGTCACAGCGGTTTCGCAATTCAACACAGGATAATCACCCGACAACGTTGGAATCAAGCCCGACATATTCAAACATTCATGCCTCGAGCTACAGCGTGCTTTGATGCCAGCTATACAACGAGGTCATGAAACCCAGAGCCCCGATCCATCAAGCTGGCGGAACAAATTGTGATCACAGTCGTTTTCAAATCAGGCGATCCAATTCTCCAAGAAAGCTACCGTCCGATATGCACGTTGCACATACTCTACAAGTTGTTCAGTCGTGTGCTGCACAACCGGCTCTGACCAGTAACCCTGTGCCGGCGAGACAAACTCCGCAGAGATAATATGGTTCGGCGTCCAGGAAGAGTATTATCCGTAAGGGGTTCGCCCCCTGCCGCCGGCCCCCTCTCTCGGATAATGGGCAATGCAAGAGCGAAATCACGAGGCGTTGGCGCCGCCGTGAAGCAGCGTCGGGACTTCACGCAAATACGATGAGTAGTCGGCAAGACAAATTGAGATTCTGATGATATTGCTGAATTCGGTTGCTTGCTCGCGTATGCTGTGTACAAAGCGCATCCACGAAGTATTGTAATTTTGTAAAACCATTGGTTTTTCCGAACTTGACCCCGCCGATCTGCGTGATGGGTGCCGCCGCATTTGAGAATTGTGGCAAATCCCATTGGTTTTTGTCGACCCTGACCCCGCCGATCTGCGCGAAGGGTGCAGCCGAATTTCAGAATTCTGGCAAATCCCAAAAGTTTTTCGACCCTGACTCCGCCGATGTGCGTGCAGGGTGCCGCCGAATTTCAGAATTGTGGCAAGTCCTGTTGGTTTTTCGACCCTGACCCCGCCGATCTGCGTGGGGGGTGTTGCCTAATTTTTAACATGTGGGAAATGATCCTATTAGGAGGAAGGCGAAGCTTTTCGGATAATGGGCGATCTAGAGACGCAGATGCTTCGGACATCAGGGACACGATCAGCATTGCCAGTGCCTACTGTGCTGGCAATGGTCCGCAGACGGCCTTACCCGGTTTCGTCGGCGCCTACTGTGCCGCTGGGCTAAGGCTCGGGGGGTCACGTCCCCGCGGGGCCGAGTGCCTGCCGTCCGTTGGCAGGGCGCCGCACAGGGCGCATTGCGCCGCAGGGCGTCTCACATGGCGCCCTGCTTCGCACTCTCCTGCCGTCTCGTGGCAGGACGCCTCACAGGGCGCAGGCCGCGTCGCTGGCCAGGGGCTCCGGGCGGTGCTTATTGTCCTTCCCGCGCTGGCCCCGCCTTCTATACACGCCACGTGCAGTTCGACATTGCGCGCGGTGCAGTGCATGCGCGCGAGCACGGGTCATGAAGTCAGCAACGCTTATTGTTTCGCTGGTCAGGCCGGCTGGTGGTGCTAACTGTCCCACCGGCGAGTTTCGTTGCCTTTGGATTCCCCCGCGTCCTAAATCACGCTCGCAATCGGTCACGTTTTTTGAGCGGTTTTGTTTGGCCCTGCTGGTGGTGCCTATTGTCCCACCAGTGGGCGCCGTCGCTGGTGGACGCTCGGTCGTCCAAGTTTTTGGCGCGTTGGGCGCGTGCCAAGGCACAACCCTCAGTGGCCAACAGGCGCTGTTGTCCTGGTAGCGCGGCCCCGCTGGTGGTGCTTACTGTTCCACCGTCGGGCGCCGAAAAATACGGATGCACGTCGTCCAGTTTTCTGGGGGGCTTGGCCAGCGGCGCTTAGTGTTTCGCTGGTCCAGTTCTCCGGGCTGCCCGCGGCCTCCCAGGTGGCTATGGGCGGCCCCAATGTCCACCGGCGGTCGCCGCAGCCTCCGCGCGCGCTCGCCAGTCACACCTTGCGCGGGGGGGGTCCGTACACACAGGGCTCAAACTCGGCGCAGCCCGTGTGTCCGTTGTTCCGCCCTCCCGGCATGTCTCTTCACCATGGCACCGACCGCTTGCAGCGGCTCTTGTGGGAGGTGCGCGTGGCAGACGCGCAGGCCATCTGGGTAGGCGGCATCACGGGCTTACGGCTGAATGTCGATCTGCTCAAGGAGCTCGGTGCTTCGGCTGCTTTTCTGGAGCGTTGGGAGAACGGCTGCTGCCTTCAAGTTGACAGGGGGCTCACACCACAAGCTTTTCCCAATCGCCCGTCGCTGTCGCATCACGCTCGGCTCGCTGATTTGGAATGGTCACGTCTGGAACGGTTGGGAAAAGTTACCTTTCTTCCAGGCACTAGTCGACCCGCACAATTGCATGTCAACCCGTGCGCGGCTATCGTCAAGCCGCGGGCGGGCGCCAGAGACAACGCGCCAGAAGAGGAGAGGGTCAAAGTTCGTATTATCATGGACCTTTCCCGGAGCAGCTTGAACGCCTCCTTGCCCGACCTCCCAGTGAACTACGGGGCGGTTGATCTGGCGATATCGCGCATGTTCCCGCGGAGCTTTTTGTACGTTGTGGATTTGGCGGATGCGTTCTGCAACTGGCGCGTCTTGCCTTCCGATGCGTGGTGGCTGGGTTTCTGGTCCCCGGGGCGACAGCAGTGCGGCATGTACACATTCCTGCCGTTCGGCCTAAAAACAGCACCTTCCATCAACGATTCTAGTTTGAAGGAGTTATTACGGCTGTTGCAGCTGCACGAGAACGCCGTGCTTACAGATTTCGTAGACGACAATCTGGGCGCACAATCTTCCGAGGAGGACGCGTGGCTGGAGCTGGAGCGCGTCGTCCGGTTCTTCCTGGAGATTGGCGTCCCGATCTCTGCAAAAGAAGGCGGCATCCGGCCGCCCTCTCAAGTCCAGACGTGGGTAGGATGGGTGTTCGACACTCTGAACAACACGCTGTCTGTTCAGCGTACAAAGTGCGACAAGTGCCAAGCCCTCATTCTCGCCGCCCTGCAGGCAGATTCAGACGGAACCTTGCTGGCGCGAGACCTCGCAGCCACCGCCGGTCTGGCCAACCATATTGCGGAGGTGTTCCTGCAAGGCAGGCGGCGATTGTATCGTGTCTGGGCGTCGCTGAACGCAGCAAACGTGTACGCGCTGTGGGCTCGCCGCCCAGCGGCGAACCCTGTTGTCCACTTGAGCCCCGACGCGCGCGAAACTTTGAGGTGGTGGCACCGCGCTCTGGACCGCACCCCGGAGCGACCGCTGCACGGCGAAGCTGGGCAGCTTTCGCTTTGGGGGCCGAAATCCCCCGAGTTCCAAGATTGGCGTCGCTTGGCGGCTGCCGGCTGCCTGCGCGTCATAGAAACTGACGCCAGCAAGCTGCGCGGATGGTCATATAATTTGTGCAGCGCTGGCGTGGTCAGGTCCGGCGTTTGGCCGGCAGGTTTCGCAGATCTCGCAGACAACGCAGACGCGATAAATTTTAAAGAGTTGTGGGTCGCGGTCCAGGCCGTTCAGGCAGAACCCGAATGGTTGCGCGGATGGCGCGTCGTGTTTCGAATTGATAACACGGCCGCCATCCATTACGTGAACTTCCGCTCCGGTCGCATACCGCACCTCGTGCAGTTGGCCGAGGAATTCGAGCATGCAGAACGCTCGGCCGGGTGCTGGTGTCTGGCCGTGCACTTGGCGGGCGCAGCGAATGTCATCTCGGATTCCGGCTCCCGAGACTCAGCATTTGCGTCTCGATGGAATGCAGGCCCTTTCCGCGAGGCTGTGCTGAAAGCGTCGGCGATGGACCGCATCACCAACGAATTCGGCCCATTTGATTGCGATCTTTTCGCGGACCGGCTGGGGGTCACCGCGAAAGCGCCGCTCTGGTTTCACCCCGAGAACACCGCGTTTGAGGCGCACGTGTTAGGAAACAAGGTCTGGGCACACCCGCCCCGTGCCTTGGCAGGGCATGCCATTTCGTTCCTGTCCAAGGCACTTGCCGAAAGCAAGTGCCGCGCTGTTTTTTTAGTTGTCCAGAGGACACCGGAGCACCTTGGTTCCGATCCTGGCAGCTTAACAAGTGGCGTAGGCTTGCTCGCTGGCAATCCGGATCAGATCTGTTCCGCGTGCCGCGTCCGGACGGCGGTTGGGTCAGAGCCCCAGCCACGGATCTGCCCATCCTGCTCTTGGGCCGTTCGGGAAAACATTCCAACGTGTACTCGTCCGTCCGTTTGCATTCTCCGCTGCTTCTCGTCCTCTGTCCATCTCGCGGTCTCCTCGCTCAGTCCGACTGCGCGGGTCATGTCGATCCCGTCTTCGACGCAGCCGCGCAGGCTCAAACTGAGGTCGCAGTCAGCGCACTGCACTTCTGAGTCGAGTCATCCTCCCTCTTCTGCCGCAACTGCCCGGCTGCGCCCCGGCCACGGCTGCGCCAGTCGAGCCGAGCGCCTTCGGCGAGGCGGAGGCGACGGAGTGGTTCAAAACAGCCATTCGGCAGGGCGGTGCCTTGGAAGCAGCATTCGCCGAGGCAGTAAAATCTGTCTTGCAAGCGGACGTGGCCTCGGACGTCGGGGAGATTCCCACGGCGATCAAGGCAACGGCGGAGACGTTCGAGACGCAGAACGGGCACACCGACACGGTGATCGCTTCCCTCGAGCAGCGCGTCATAGCCTGCGAGGAGTTCGTAGCCAAGGCTAGCAAGCAAGAGGCTGACCTGGACGCGGCTTTCTCGTGGCGCGAGGTCGAGCGGTCCACAGACGCGCAGGAGTGGTTGGCCGGGTGGAACCGTCTGTTCGTGGACAAAGACTGGCTGGCCAACGTCTCTGCGCAGATGGCAGACCCAGCAATGGTCAACGCCGTATCCGTGTGCATGGCCAACCCGAACAACCCGGATGCGCAGAAGATCAAAGACGCGATCGGTCTGCGCAACGCCCCCAAGACCACCTTGAGGGAGCTGTGCCTGTCGTCGTTCGGCGGCAGTCCAGACCGCTTTCGTGCGTTCATGTCGGACAAGGCGGCGGCCCGGGACGACAAGGTTGTCGCCGCCATCGCCAGGAAGGCGTTGGGCTTCTTCCTCCTGCTCGAGAACCAGCACGTGAACGCAGCCACGGCCAAGCCGACCTCGGCCGCCAAGTTGACCGCCCAGAGGAACGAGATTATGCCTCTCTTGTTCGTTACCCTCAAAGCCATGCGCCGCAAGGCCAAGAAGGCGTCGGCACGGAACAGCCTGGAGCACATCATGCTGTGCTCCGAGTTCAGTTTGGACTGGTCTCTGGGCCTCTCGCGCCTCGCCGTCGCTCCCTTCGTGATGGCTCCGCCCGGCCCCGCCGTCACGGCAGTCGTGACTTCCGGCTCCCCCGAGGGCGCGCCGGGCGCGGTGGGTGGGCCCGCTTACAAGCGCCTGCGTGCAGACCCAGCCCAGGGCGGCGGCGGGGCGCCGGGGGGCAATGGCAGCTGGGCGCCGCAGCAGGGACTCCCGCAGCAACACCAGAACCAGCCGAACTCCTTCGGCCAGAACACCGGCAAGGGCGGCAAACCCCAGGCGCCGGGCACCGGCAAAGGCGGGAACAACAACCACAAGAAGGCCAACGTGACGGCGATGTTGTCGGAACTCGGGAACATGGTGGGCAGGCAGCAGCCGGCCGCCGTGCAGGCTTTCGTCGACGCCAATCACCAGGGCTCGCCGGACGACAAGGAGGCGATCAGGTCCATCATGGGCACCTATTGCCGCCACTGTTTGCTCGGGAGCCGGAGGCTCGTCCAGCACAGCCGGGCCCAGTGCAGGCAAGAGGGCGGCGTGCCGGCCACTCCGTGCAGCCGCTGCGCACAGAAGGGGATCGTGGCATTCCACTGGCAGGAGGAATGCAGAAGCTAATGCGCCTGCCGCGCGCGAGCGCGCAGCCCTCCGGCAAACCGAGCGGCATGCCTCGCCCCTTCTCTGACTATCTCCCCTGTCCCATCTCCCGCTCGCTTGGCTGGCCGGGTAGCCTGGTGAGCCCACAGCCGTGCCGGTGACAGCTGCAGAGAGGCCTTTCGCGTGGCATCTTGTATGTTATAATCCGCGAGCCGGCTTCCCTGCCCCATGCGGGCGAACATGCCCCGTTCTATTCGTGCACGTTCGTTCAGATACAGCCTGCGCGCTTGGGCCGGTTGCAGACGGACCACTTCGGCCCTGGCAGGCGGACCGCGAGGAAAAAACAGCATCGCTTGGGCGGGGGAAAGTTTCCAGGCCCCCCCTCTGGTCAGACCTCGTCGTCTTTGCGGGGGAGGGCCCAGACCCCGTTCTTGCCAGTCACGCGCTTGCCTATAACACCCGCAGGCCTACGGCAAACCCCGCCAGGTGCCAGCGCTGTGGCATTGTTTGTTTGTTCGTCGGAACCCTGCCTGACACGCAGCAGAGATGGTCGCGCGCGCCGAGTGCGCCGCCGCAGATTTCCGATGCAAGGTGACGAGAAGCCTTTGCCGTGGGACTCCCGTGGACCACCCTTTTGGCCAAATTTCACGGCGACTCTCTCCCTCCGTTTCCCTCTCTCTCTCTCTCTCGCTGTCTGCTCATTTCACGCATACGCATGCACGCATATATGTATAAGTGAGGGAAAGATAACGTGAGGGTGGGGGAGCGAGAGAGATACCGGGAGCGGGGTGGTCTACGAGACGCGGGCTGACAATCGGCCTTGTGGACAGGCTTGCACAGGTGCCCATACCACGCGGCCCCGGCGGGGCTGTGGTGACAGGAAGGAGGAGGCGGGCCCACCGGGGCTCCATTCAAAAACTATCACTAATTTTACGGATCTCCAGAAAACGCCTTGGACATGGCCGGCGGGCCCGCTCGTGATCTGGGCCGGGATCCCAGGTAGCCAGCAGTTGTGGTGGAATCCGACAGGTAATCAGGCCCGTGTGGGTCCGCTCCTCGAGGCTTCCGGCGGCCGACTCCTGGCTAGGTCTCCAGAAAACGTTCTGGGCGAAGTCGCTGGCGGGTCCGCTCCAGGGGACACTCCCCGTCGGCACTGATGCCCCCGGAAAGCGCTCGCGAGGCACAGCGAGAGTGCGGCTTCCTTTAGGGACGCAGGCGACGCAGCGCCGTCTTCCAGCCCAGGGCCCTCTTCCCACCTCCGCCCTTTTCTCCCGCCCTTGGCCTCCTTCCCTCCCCCCGCCCCCCTCGCCCCTGCAGCCGTCCCGGCTCAAGACCTTGACATGCACCTGTTGAGCGCGCCGCTGTCTGGCCAGCCAAACTCTCCGGCGCCATGGGGTGTTGAGTTGCTCTCAGCACCGTTGCCTGAGAGTCGGTGGGCCGTCCGGCCTCGACCCAGGGCCTTGGATGCGCCTGCCTTGCTGGCCCGCCCCGCGACCAGAGGGCCGCGGGCACTGGTCGGCGCCCCTGCCGCGGGCGACGTGGCCCTCCAGTTCGCGCCGGTTCGGGGCGACGTTCTGCAAACATCCACGCAGACAGGGGCATTGTCCGCGCGGGCCGCGCTCATGGACACCGCGCAAGACATCCTGCGAGCCGGGCGGGAGCAAAGCACGATCCGGACGTGCAGCCGAGCGTTGTCCGTGCACGTTCACGGCTTCGAACAGCAGGTCGATTCCAACATCCCCCCGTTGGATTCCCCGGATAAGCTCATGCTCCTGTTCGCCAGCATGGACGGCATGGCATGGCAAACCATACGCCTCAACAAAGCAGCCGTCAGAGCGTGGCACCAGAGCAACAACTACAGCCAGGTCTTCGACGATTGCTGGGACGATCGGGCTTTGCATTTTTGGCGAGGCCTGAAAAAGAGAGCATCCCACGCATCGCACCAAAAACGTGCGATTAGTGTTGAAGAGTGGGCGCTGTTTTGCACGGCCAGGGCGGCAACAGGCACGCCGGCTGGGCGGAGGGATGCAGCTTTCGCGTCGTTTTGTTTTTTCGGCTTGCGCCGCGTTTCGGAGGCGATCAACCTCCGCGCTCAGGACGTGCGTTTTGAAGCCTCGTGCGCGTGTTGTTTCATCAGGAAACAAAAGAACGACCCGTGTGGCAAAGGCCAATGGCGTTTCATTCCGTTCAAGGTTATTGCTGGGCTATCCCCGGCGAAATTGCTGCAAGATTGGATGGATTGGAAAGCCGCGACGGCAGCTCACGTGCCTTCCCTATTGTGCACCACGACAGGTTCCCAACTCCAGCCTGTTAGCGCGGATTCGTGGCGCAAGGCGGTTTCGTCACACTGTAAGGGCCCAGCCGCTAGCGCGCATTCGTTTCGTAGAGGCGGAACAGAATGGTTCACGCACGTAGCAGAGATCCCCCCGCACGTGGTCCAACGGCAAGGTGGGTGGAATTCGGAGGACGTCATGCGTCATACGTACGCCGACACATCCCCTGATACGCTAATGCAGCGTTTCGTCGATAGCCTGGCAGCCTCTTCTGCAGAGCAGACGACGGACCGGCCGACCAAACGCTTGCGAGAGAAGACGGCATCCGTGCGCTCGCTCGGAGGCCCGCAAGGAAAAAAGACCGCCGGCTCCCAACGCACACCGCTTCGCGGAACACCGCCTCAAGGGGGCCTGCTTCGAGGGGTGATCACCAGGTCGTCTCCTGGCGGCGCCTTCCCTGGTGGGCTGGGGGTACATTCGCCCCCTTGATGCTGGGGAAAAGCATCGACAACGTCGTGAGATTGATCCTATTAGGAGGAAGGCGAAGCTTTTCGGATAATGGGCGATCTAGAGACGCAGATGCTTCGGACATCAGGGACACGATCAGCATTGCCAGTGCCTACTGTGCTGGCAATGGTCCGCAGACGGCCTTACCCGGTTTCGTCGGCGCCTACTGCGCCGCTGGGCTAAGGCTCGGGGGGTCACGTCCCCGCGGGGCCGAGTGCCTGCCGTCCGTTGGCAGGGCGCCGCACAGGGCGCATTGCGCCGCAGGGCGTCTCACATGGCGCCCTGCTTCGCACTCTCCTGCCGTCTCGTGGCAGGACGCCTCACAGGGCGCAGGCCGCGTCGCAGAACGCGCAATCGCCCTCCCGCCCCCCCTGCTTCGCACCGCGACGCGCGCGTAGATGCGGCGAGGGATTCACATGCGGCCCGTGCGCGGCCGTTTCTGCCTCAGCTCCCGCTTCCCGAGGCGACGGCCAGCATGGAAGTTTCGGGGGGTGATCACCAGGTCGTCTCCTGGCGGCGCCTTCCCTGGTGGGCTGGGGGTACATTCGCCCCCTTGATGCTGGGGAAAAGCATCGACAACGTCGTGAGATCTCATGGGTTTTTCGACCCTGACCCCGGCGATCTGCGCGAGGGGTGCCGCAGAATTTTACCACAAATGTTGCAAATCCCATTGGCTGTTCGACCCTGACCCTGCCAATCTGCGTCAGGGGTGCCGCCGAATTGCAGAAGTGTTGCAAATTCATATGTTTTTTCGACCCTGACTCCGCCGATGTGCGTGAGGGGTGCCGCCGCATTTGAGAACTGTGGCAAGTTCCATTGGTTTTTTCCTCCCTGACTCCGCCGATTAGCGTGAGGGGTGCAGCCGAATTTCAAAATTGTGGCAAAGCCCATGGGTTTTTTGACCCTGACTCCGCCGATGTGCGTGAGGGGTGCCGCCGCATTTGAGAACTGTGGCAAATCCTATTGTTTTTTTCCACCCTGACTCCGCCGATCTGCGTGAGGGGTGCAGCCGGATTCCAGACTTGTAGCAAATTCCATGGTTTTTTCGACCCTGACTCTGCCGATTTGCATGAGGGGTGCAGCCGAATTCTAAACATGTGGGAAATCCCCTTGGTTTTTTTCGACCCTGACCCCGGCAATCTGCTCGAGGGGCGCCGCATAATTCGAGAAATGTGGCAAGTCCCATTGGCTTTTCGACCCTGACCGTGCCGATCTGCGTCAGGGGTGCCGCCGAATTTTAGAAGTGTTGCAAATCCATTGGTTTTTCCATCCTGACCCCGCCGATCTGCGTGAGGGGCGCCGCCGAATTTCAGAAATGTGGCAAATCCAATGGGTTCGGCGACCCTGGCCCCGCCGATCTGCGCGAGGGGTGCCGCCGGATTTTAGATATGTGGCAAATCCTATGTGTTTGTGGACCCTGACCCCGCCGATCTGCGTGAGGGATGTCAATTTAGGCTCCCTTCAGAAGTTCTGATAACCCTCCCAGGAGACGCTAGGTTTGCTGATTTTCGGCTCCCCCCCCCTCGCGCGGTCTACAACGAGGGACAGTAAGCAGCATAAAGCAATATTGTAACAGTGAAATTTGGAAAATGGAACTGGCGCAGGGAACAGCAGACCCTCAGCATACAGCCTGGTGGCCACACAAGCGGGCCGGTGGATTTTACCAACCCTTTTGCAGTGTGTATTCGTTTTCCCCCACATCCTAAGTGTGGTTCTTGTTCCCCACCATCCTGTGGTGTTGGGTCCTCGGCGTTGGGTCTTCGTTTTGACGGCACAGCGCCCCGCGTTATACTCCTTCCTTCCTCTTTCCTTCCTCATCCTTCTTCTTTCCTTTCTCCTCCTCCTCCTCCTCCTCCTCCTCCTCCTCCTCCTCCCTCCTCCCTTTGCCGCTGGCAGGGCGGGGCGCCCGCGCCTGCCGGAGGTCCTCGAGCAGGTCGCGAGAGAGGAGGGCCTTCCAGCCAACCGCATGCGGACTCACTCGTTGCGCATCGGAGGCGCCGCCGCCCTCCGCCACGTCCACCCGAACGAGCGGATCGAGAGGTTCGCGCGACGGAGCAGCACCTCGTTCCACGGGCACCTGTGGGAGGCGGGCGAGGGCGCGATGGGCGCGGCGGCAGGCGCGGCGGGAGACGCGACCTCGCTGCGCGTCGGCTACAGGCTTGCGAAAAAGGGCAGGCGCGAGGCGCACCGCCTGGAGGCGTGCCGCACTGGGGAAGGACAGGATCAAACC